AGCTAGCGCAGCAGCCGTACCCACCCGTGCAGCTGCAGACCAGCCGGCTTACGATGTTCGACTGCAGCTCCTGCAACGAGGGGATGGTGGAGGAAACTGTAAATGGGACCAGGCCCTGTGAAGCCAGGCCAGTGCTCCTGAGCCCTTGAAATCCCCAGGAGGGTTGAAACTATTCAGGGGCCGGAGCTCGGAGGACAGCTACTTATGGTCTCCAGCCAATAGAAGTGCAGGCCAGAGGTATCAAACTGCCTCCCATACATTACAGAGGGGCAGACTAAGTATGCCACATAATACTGTGATACACAGTTACAGACAGACAGTCACACACACACTCAGTTACAGGCAGACAGTCCCACACACAGTTACAGGCAGACAGTCACACACAAAGTTACAGGCAGACAGTCACACAGACAGGTAGACAGCTATACAGACAGACAGTCACACAAGCTTAGTTAAAGGCAGACAGTCACACAGACACACACAGTTACAGGCAGTCACACACAGTTACAGGCAGACAGTCACACACACACACAGTTACAAGCAGGCAATCAGTCACACACACTCAGTTACAGACAACCACACACACAAGCAAAGGCATAGGCAGACAGGCACAAACACACACACTTAATTACGGGCAGACAGTCACACACAAGTACAAGCAGGCAGTCACACACACAGTTGAAGCAACACATAGTTGCAATCACACACACAGACACACACAAAGGCACAGCTACAGCCACACACAGGCAGATATTCACACACAGTTACAGTCAAACATTACAGTCACACACAGGCAGATCGTCACATACACTCAGTACAGTTACACACTTACAGTCACACACAGGCAGACAGTTTTACACACACACACACACACACACACACAGTACAGTCACAGACTGTTAAAGTCACACACAGTTAAAGTCACATACAGGCAGACAGTCACACACACACGCACACACACACGCACACACACACGCACACACACACACAGTCACACAAACAGGCAGAAGGGAAGAGTGGAGGCAGTGCAGCTCCTGTAGTCTAGTTGTTGGGGAAGCAGGGACTTCTTCTGGTTCCCCCCTTCCTGTGCAGCAGTTACCAGGCACTTCTAGTAGGTTTTAGCCCTGCTCTGCCTATCATTAAGCTCCGTCCAGTAAGCTTTGCCCACTTTTATTCATAGACTCGGGTGGAGAATAATGAAATCCTCCACCCGGGTACCTACTTCAGCTTCCCACTGCACACCGGTCACTTGACCATGTGTGAGCTGTGTTGGCCGCATGGCACCCCTGCTCCATGGTGCTCCGTGCGGCCGCACAGCTTGCACACCCCTAAGACCGGCCCTGTTCACTATACACATGCTGCATCCTAAGTGCCTCCAAGAGGGGTGTGGAAAGTGGGGAAGGTCCTGCGGATCGCACAGGCCTTAAGCTGTGTAAGGGGCCTCAAAATGTACTTACTCACTATATCTAGGCCTTTGTCTCCGACCACAAATGTTAAAGGGACACTATATGCATTTTTACAACTGCATATTGAATAAGCTTGGGTTTATAGATCGATTCTCTGCAATTTAGGATTTAATAAATGTTTCTATTTATGATGTCCTAGTCACAACCACCCTGGCTGTGATTTACACAGCCTGCATTAATTTATTTTTCCATTTTCAATCAAATGTTGACTTGCTTTAGAAGTTTTTATCTCCTTCTCCATAAAGTGAACTTACACACAGGAGTCCCTGCAAGGTCTAGAATGCTATTAACAGAGCAGGAGATAAGAAATTATAAAAACTATAAAATACAGACTGTGCAATTAAAGTTTAAATATTATTTGTCTCTTTACAGGCTGGAGTTGTGAAAGGGGTTACCTGGCTATTTAACCTTGTGCTACCTCCTCCTCTGGGCCTCCCTCTCTTGTCTACACCCTCCCCTCCACAGCTCAGAGTATACCCATGTGCTCTGAGCCAGTAAGAGTGGTCAAATCAAATGCTGACATTTTATTTTTAATTTAGAAAATGTGATGGACAACATTGTCAATTAAAATATATTTATTATAAAAAAAAAATAAAAATAAAAAAGACTGGAGTAACCCTTTAAAGTTCAAGGAGAGTCCTCCAAAAGTGTTTAGATAACACAATGTGGTAACTGCACCCAAACTCTTGCCAAAAAACACTATATTAACCACTAAGCTGCTAAGAATTTCCCTTTAAGTAAGAAATTACAATTACAAGTCACTGAGTTCAGTTGATACATGCAGGGTTATCCTTATCATCGGCACTTTGTAAGTTTTAGCTGATTAATGGGCTAAATAAATGTAACTCAGAAAATTGGGCTGAAAGTTTTATTGGTGAAGTAATCACATTCCCATCTGCTCTCCTTTGCCATACATGGGAATGTTTTAAAAGACTTCAAAGTGTTTCTGTGCATAGATATTTCTGACTGTTTTGTGAGTCAATTTCATTAAAACAGCAGAGTTTGAAAAAAGGCACTGCTCAATCAAGAACCTAGTGAAGATATTAATTATTGGAATAATCTTTCAAAGCTTTAGCATTCATGATAATGTTTTGCATAACATAATGATAAAAATAAAATAGGAATTTTATACAGTTGTGAACATAGTTAGTTTCCAACATGAAGCTGTGGTTTTGCAATATGTACTATTTGTGATTTACTTTATTATATCTCATTCTTTAAAGGGACACTGATTCATCTGTAAAAACTCCCCTATGCTTGAATATTTTCTTCTTCCTTGTAACTGTACTGCAAAACATGATGTTACTGCTGCATAAACCCAGGAGTCCCTGCAGGAGTCCCTGCAGGTTCTAGAATGATCCTGTATCCTGCAATATTTCTACATTAACAAAGTATGCACAGGCATGCTATACCCTGATGCAGCCCCAGTTCTAGTCTGCTGCACAGGCTAGGCACAGAGATCAAAAATATCTCAATTTGATCGACACCTATATGCTCTTTACTGTGTATTGAGGTCTGCCCTAAAACATAGGGCAGACCTCAATACATGCCTATCACTGATGTATAAGTAACTGAGAAGATGAAGGTGATATGCATGTCTACTAACACTGCTCTCTCTGTGCAGTATTCTTCTAAAGAGGAGAGCTTGTATTGGGTGGGAGCATATCCACCCACATCCCTTTCTCATCTTTCCCATTTAGAAAGAATACATTGCCTCTTTTTGACCACTTACACTAATCATCTACAACATTATAACCACTGTACAGTGAAGTGAATGCTAAAAAACAAAATACTGGCCATGACAGATAGGTGTCCACACACAGTTTGCTGCAAATAAGACTGCATAGCCACAGACAGGTCAGAGTACCCATGATGACCCTTGTTCACTGCCGAATGCTCTTTCAATTGAGACATGAGCATTAGAACTGGACCATGGAGAAGGTTGCCTGGTCTGATGAATCACATTTTGTTTTAGATCTGGTGGATGGCTGCGTGTGCATCATTTACCTGGGAAGGAGATGACAGTAGGATGCACTATGGGAAGAAGACAAGCCGACGGGCAATGTTATGCTTTGGTCAAACCTTGAATCCTGTCATTCATGTTACTTTGACATGTACCAGCTATCTAGAGATTGTACACCCACTCTTGGCCCTTCCACACAGCAAAACTTGTTCAGGAGAGGTTTGAGGAACATGACCAAGTGTTTTAAGTTAATAACTGGCCTCTAAATTCGCCAGATCTCAATCCGATTGAACATCTGTAGGATGTGCTGGAACAACTAATCTCTGACCACACATGTTAAAGGGACACTATAAGCAATTAAACAACAGAATATTGAAGCAGTATAAGGGTTCATCAACTCAAGCACCAGATCTTTCTAGAACCTACCAACACCCCCTGAAAACGATCACCTCTCTGGAAATAAAAAAAAAAAAAAAAATCATCTATAACTTGTGTAAAACATTTCAACGTATATGAAAGTTTTAGCAACTGATATCACAATCCAGGGCAAGGCCAGGGAACACATTTTCAAGATGAAAATAGAAACATTGGGAGAGTTTTATATGAAATTCTTTTCCTAAAGTAATAAATGTGAGACAATTGCCATGGAAACCAGTGGAACCAAAAGACACATCCCATTGGTGACTTCCTCCATTTTACATTATTATGTTGTATCTGTTTCTTCTCCTCCACCCACTATTTTCCTCATGGCGACCATTTACCTCTGCATCTAGAACATATTTCAAGTATATTTTTTTAAAGTAATTCTATTTTGACTAATAACAGCAAAAGCGTTTTTTAAACGCTTACCTTCTAGGCCATTGCACACACATGTTGTAAAGTTAAATTTGACTTTTGTACTCAATGCGTTTAAAAACCGCAATCACCAAACTTATCACACTACTATACAGGCACATTAGCTATGAGGCTGGAGAGTGGGGAACGCTTCGGTACACCGACCAGTGGGAAGAAGACCAGGGAGAGGTCCAGAAGGGAACTGACTGGCAGGACATATGGGAGGCGTGCACCAGGGTATCAATGTGTGTAACGCTCCAAGAGCAAAACTGTAAAACACTTCTCCGGTGGTACACAACACCAGTTAAGCAGTGTCACATGAAACTAAGCTCCACAGATACTTGCTGGTGCATGTGTGGGGAAAAGGGTAGCTATGTCCACATGTGGTGGCAGTGCCCAATAGTGCAGGGATACTGGGGAAAAGTGGAGGATCTCAGTTCTCAGGTCCTCCAGCGGAGACTGGAGCTAGACCCATGGGGATGCCTGTTGTCCCAACCCCCAGAAGGCCTTAGTAAACATGAGCAAAAGTTACTGAAAATGATATACCTAGCGGCACGATGGGCTAACACAGCACTGGGCTAACCCTGAGCCACCGCACATGTCTAAAGTGCTATTAAAAATAAGAGACAACTACCTAATGGATAAGCTCACCGCAAGGGTTCGCAACACCAGCGCTACCTTTAATAAAGTGTGGGCACTGTGGGAGCAGTATGACGAGTGACCCTCTCACAGCAGGGCTATCACAAAACAATACGTATTCCCGGGGGCTTGCACAGGTCCGGCCTCCTGGGCGCACTCCTTAGAATGCCACCTTCAAAATCTTGGAGCCAGAGAGGGAAGATTCATAGTTAAGTTAGGTTATCTTCAGTGCACCACACGAGCTGAAACGCCTACCTGAGATAGAGGATCACAGCAACATACAGCAGCGTTTAGATGCAGCTTTTGCCCGATTCTGGCACAGGCTGGGAAAAAGGCTGTAAGCACCGACGGCAAATCAGCCACCCCACCCAGATAAGAACAGACTGAACCGACTCCACGGAGTACAGAGAAAGGTACCACCGAAAGGGCAGCCAGACCGCAAAAATGCAGCGGGGAACGGGTGGAAGAGGCACCCCACTCTGGGCACAGCGACTATCCCCAAGCTAACCACGCAAGCACACAGCCCGCCCAGGCTAGGGGCCAGGAGGAAACTGTCTCCACAGCATCGACCACCATGCAGAAGGAATGCCCGCCGCTGGCACTCGATATGGGTATGCCTCAAACTCACAGAGCCATCGAGCCAGTGGTCAGACGATGCCACCCTCTATGTGGGCCTGGGGCTGGAGAGGGTCCTCACCCCGCAACTGCCATTCCGACACCTTCTCCCCTCTCACTCCTGATGACAACATGCCGCGAACCGGCAAGGGCTGAGCGGGACTGATTTGCGGACACGCTGCACTGTTTAACTCTCTCCTCTCACCTTCCTTATTTCTTTAGGTCCCCTCTATACAGAACGCAACTCTATGCTTTAAATGGTTACCTTTGTCGCAGCCCACTTGTACCATCTATGCAACCTGTTGCGCTTTCTTAATTACTGACCCAGTTAAACTCAATTGCATAGCTTAAGAACTGTTTATCTCCTATATCTATTTGTTTAGTTATACAGTTAGTTCTGCATTGAGTCAATGACACACATCCAGCAAAGCAACTGTTTTAGAATATCTAGACACGAGACTGTGCGCCTATCATTTTCTATATATGTAGTATACTGTTTAAGCCCAGCATGTTAATATATTGAACCCTCTGGTATAGCATATCATTTAAATCTCTTAACACACTCAGTAGGCATGCATCTAATCAATCAGCTTGCACAACTCAGGTTAATGTTACCTCTGCTTGATTTATAATCAGTTGATCCACTTATTGTGCCTTTAATCAACAGGACCTTATGTATCTTCAACATATAGTTTAACAACAAAAATTTTAAAAATGAGGCATTGCTATTCTGGAAATGTAACTCAAAATTGCTAAATGATGTACCTAAGCTGTAAAATCACTCGTACATTTCCCCTGCTTTTCTTATGTACCCCATCTTATATGCCTTCAATAAAAGAAAGATTTACAAAAAAAAGTTAGGTTATCTTCATTAAGTTATTATTTTTCTGAATGTACTTTCTTTTTCTTTTTGAACAAAAGCTGGCGGATTGTGAACATGTACAAGAATAATTGTTGTAATGTATGCATTTAACCCATCTTCCTATACCTCAATGACACATTGTTGATCACAATTTATATGGAACTGGGCTTCTGTGTAAGCCACTTTGTACTGTGCATATGTTGCTCTCTGTCGGGGCAAAAATAAAGAATAAAAAAAAAAAACGCAATCACTGCTTTTTCTGTGTTTCCTTCACAAAAACAATCTACATACAAAATATAAAAAACATAATTGTTTATACATAATTGTTTACACAGTGAACAGCAACAGAGTGGAGTTTTTATTTCAAAAATATGTTTTTTTTTAAAACACACATGGTGCTATAACATTTAGCATGAATTCAGTAAAGTCAATTCAATTCCATTTTGGTCACATCCTTACATGATTCCATAATTCCATTGTAACTTACCAAGGTTTCCACTTTCTCTTTAGATGATAGGGATGATTTTTGTCATACCCAGGTAGTGATATTCACTCAATTATGACTTTTAAGAAAAAAGCTATCTAAACAGCAAGGGATATAGTCTAACATGAGCAAACTCAGATTCAGATTTGTCTCTTTGTTTCTCAAGGGCAGTGCTCATTTTTTGTTGGCTATTTTATAATTGCATTCATAGAAAGAATTACATAAAATCAGCAGGTTTGTTCTGATTAGTTTGTTGAACTATACATATATTGCAAGCTAAATACGAAATGTCCTGTCTTTTGTGTAGACTACTAAATAACTTTTATTAAAAGTAGCGGAGCGGCAATATTAAATCCCAAGATCTCCGCTGGTAAAGAAGGTAATCCACAGTCAAGCGCTGAAAAGTAAGGCAATATCCCAAATCCCCCAGTAACCGGACGAAACACAGTTCTGGGAGTCAACTGAGGTTTTTATTCACAGCATCCAGTATTTATGCAAGTCCCCATGCAAGGGGTTTCCCTACTGACATAGCAGGGGTAATACAGTAGGGGACTACATGGGGGACTTAACATTCAGACCTTTTCTCCCATCAGGCACTGCTGGACGAGAGGGATACTCCCACTGGAATGTACCATTAAGTGGATTATCTCTCCGCCCAGCAGAACCGACATTTTACATTAAAATTTATTACTTTTATAATACTTGAGTGATTTACACGAATGGACGTTCGGTAGATAGCTGGGGTCTGAGCGCACCTTTCGTGAGAATACCACTCAGATCCCAGCTAAAACAACCGAACGCCGCACGAAATACACTTTGCCCATGAGTTCGTCTGAAATTACCGAACACCGATGGGGAACTGTAATAGGGAAATACAGGAGCTCCCGAACGGCCTAGAAGTCCAGCGGGGTTCGCGCCGTCGAGTAGCCGATTTCGGCTCCATGCGCTCGACGACCAAACCCCGCTGGTGAGACAAAGGATCCAAGATGGCCGACCGCCGCGTGGTCGGTAGCCGAACGACGGCCACCTAGGAAAGCCTCTAATTACCAATTGCAACGTTGTTGCAATCGGTTAATGAGCGCCACACGTCCCTCTATGTGTGGGCTATTAGGGGGTAGCTCATTCGGTTCACAAACAGCCTGTAAGGTTGCTGTTCGTGAAACAAAACACATGAATGCTAGCGGCTTTCGGTTGCTAGCATACGAATTCAATGCAAACATACGTTAACACACAGTGTACCACCAGGTTATACAAGAAGTTACAGGGATTAATACAGTCAACCTTTTTATGCACATAGTCCAGAATATTACAAGTGGCTAGGTTTGCCACATTGACCAATGTTGTTTTGTTTTTCTATAGTAGCCAACATGCACAAATCCTTAACTAAGGCAGGCTATAACATTGATTTAAAAAGTAGTGTCTTAATTCAAATTCAAAGTGTCTTAATACCATGTATAAAATATAAGAAGTTATAAAAGTTATGAAAAACACACTTATCTTTAGTTATAGAATAGGTGGCTCATTATGTCCAGCTTAAGAAAAACAGAAAAAGCATACAATAGTGTAATAAATCCCCAAAATTGGAACACTCACAATTTTAAGAACCAACATGCCTAGCTCTGGTGTAACGGGCCTGTGGGTGCGTTTAGGCGACCCCCCGCTTTTTGAGTGAAGTGTAGACTTTTTTTTTTATTCTAGAAGTTTATCTTGTGGATGTCATTTGAAAGATAAAGTGTATTTAGTATAATATTGTTAAAAACAAGATATACTGGGTAGTTAGATATATTATACTCTTAAGTGTGGGTAAATTCTAAGGGTAAATTTATTAAACAGTGTGCTGACTTCAGATGACAGACGGCTGCAAAATTTTAAGACAAAAATAAGTGAGTTGGAAAAGAATTCTTCTAATGATCTCTGGCTATTTTGTTACCAAGAACCTGGCTTCTTTGGCTTATATAGTCCAAATTAGTTGTTAGGTCACAATATCTCAGTGTACAGTACAACGAATTAATATCCTACAGAGTTATTTATTAAAGTTGGAATTGTTGGGAAATCAAAGTGCATGTCAGAGTTCACCTTTGGGGTGCAACCATTGCAAAACATTTTAGCCCTAAAGCTAAGAGGTTATTCAGCCATAACAATTACATTGCAATGGGGCTAGAAAGACTACTTTATAGGATATTATTTCTGCAGCCATAGCCATATCACCTCTAGCTGTGACTCACACAGCCTCCCTTCACATTTCCTGAAAAAAACCTGTTCATCTGGAACCTAAATTGGATGAAGAATGTGTTTACTTTAGAAGCTCTTTTCTCTGTCTCTTTGCTCTTTAATTCCCTGCTAGTGAAAAGCAGCCTCCAGTATGAGATTATATAATGCTAGGTAAAAAGGTAAAAATAATTATTCTTGACTTGTCTGAACTAGCATAAAAACATGTTTTTATTCCAGCAAAATGTAGACAATTTTCCTTTATTCGTATAATGTGTAAAACGTATTTTATTATTTAATAATATTTATTATATATAGATACACATAGATATAAACTGGTGGCTAGAAAATAACATCTGTGTTTCCCAACCAAGAGAAGAATTGTTTCACTCAGAGTGTCAGTAATATAATGGCACCCCCAAAATATTCTGTTTTCATCAACTGCAGTAAAGGTTACATAGTCTCTCTGAACCCACGTCTCATTTGACTTTTGTTTACACTCTTCCACATTTCTCTGATCATGCCCTTACCTGAAAAGCAAGTATTAAAACCAAGCTAACTTGCTTCTGCAGAAAATCCTGAGTCCTACGTGAGCATTTTTTGTTTAATAATTGTTGCTCTGTCAATTATATGTGAATCGTTATAATTTAGTAATTTCCAGCACCTATTACATAAATGTATCTCTTACATATAATGGTAACTTCAAAAGCACCTAATGGCTTTCATTTTCTTCAGCACACAAATCACAGTCTTGCATGTCTTGGACTTTAACTTCACACTGGAGTGTGATGCTTTATAGGAGTTCTCAATAATTATTTTCTAGATATGTTATTGTAACTGTGTTCTCACTGAGATCAAAGATTTCCTACCCAGCCACAGGATATCATGTTATTATGATGCAGTTCTCCCGCAGGTCTACCGGTTCTAAGGAAGTAACACAAGCTGACACAGATTGTCATTACAGAATGCATGTTTACTGGGTCAATGCATGTTTATATGTCAATTGTTAACTGGGTTGAAAATTGCTTGATATCAGAGCGCAGAGATCTGAGGTGAATACAAACTCCTACATCCACTCAGAGTCATTACGTGCCTGCGTACGCTCTCGGATATCGTAAACTCAACATGCTTCAAGGCCTGGCCCTTTCCTGACTTCTAGATGATTGTGGGTTCAGGACTCCATTGCTGGGCTGTTAGCAAATTGCACAGTTCAGAGGAGTTCATGCTCTGTGCATCACTGTCTGGCACCCAGCAGAGCGTACCCCAAGTAAATTGTCAAACCATTTTTAATTCACCCATCTTCCAATTTTATCTCATTATCCATTGGTTTGTATATTATTGTGATATATTGTTGTCACCATTTATGCATTATGTGGTGTTTCATTCGGTTTCAACTGAAATTTGTCATTCATATTCGCAATCACATATTGGCCGATCCGAATAACAGAATTACATGGAAGATTTGCAACCATCATGCGATTCAGGACTTGTTTGATTTGTTAATTTGGAAATTCAGTTGTTCGTTATTCGTTAAGAACTGCAGAATCTACCAAATTTCGCACCAAATTTCCCTATATTTTTGTTATTTCTAGTTCATGGATTTTATTTATATTTGATTGTGTTTTTTTCAGTTATGTATTTTTTTCAACAGAAAGAAATATGTTCTATATAAATATCCAAGCACACAATTCTACAGTTTGACTATTGAACAAATGTAAGTCATATAGCCAAGTAATTATAGTTTCTGCGGAGGACTATTGGTATGCTTACCACATAAATTTAAGTTATGAATGTTCTAGCTTGAGGTTGATGACACAGCAAAAAAGAACCTCATGAATGAGTGATTGGAGGTTTCTTTAGTATGCAATCTTGAAGAGCATATATCAACAATCCTCAAGGCATCCAATTTGGTCTGAAACTAAGGACCCCCAATGGTGGTGACCAGCTGTTCATCAGCTTCTTTCTAACTACTTAAATATCTGTTCATCTGCCTTGGCATAATGCTACCCATGTTCCGTATTAAGTTTTACAACTGGTTTTAATGACTACAGTTGCTATTCTAGTCTCTGAATGGATTTGTAATAATGGCACAATTCAGCATGTGGTTTTAAACAGATTTTAAAACTCTCAGGCAACAATGGTATGTATTACAAAAAAAAACAAAAAAAAATGCTTTCTTAACACTTTATAAATAACAAAGGTCTAGATCTAATAATAATAAATATATTTGGATACACTTTTCAAGTGATTTAATATTATGAAAAATATTTTAATCGTGTAATATTTAGCTATTTTTTGATATATTGATATATTTTTGTATATATGGTATAGGTTTTGATATGTTAATATGTTAAAAAAAATCACTTGAAAAGCATATCCAAAATAATTAAATCATTTGGAAAGTTTATCCAATAATATTACATTTTGACCAAACGGTTCTTTGTGCATGGCTCTGTAATAAAATATTATTCCAACTAGTCTTAATAATTCTTAATATACAAAACATACACACATGCATATATGAATGTATTTGTTTTCTTATTATTCATTATT